ATATATATATATATATATATATATATATATACACACTACACAGACAGACAGGGGCAGTGCGTACCGGATCTGTACTCGGTGTTTCTCCGCCAGTCCTGTATGTCGATCTCCATTGTGCCGGCGATGACTAGCTCCAGTTCGCGCGCGTCGAACGTTGATACGACGCGGTGTTCGATGACGTCGTAGAAGCCGCGCACTAGCGCGTCCGTCTGCTCGCAGACGCCCCGCTCTAGCCGCCAGCGCACCATCAGCTCGATGTACTCCTTCTTGTTCTTCTCCGTCATTGCCACGTCCATGCCGCCGGGTTTCAGCTCGCGCTCGGTCACCTGCAGAGGGCAGCAGGCGTCGCACGACGATTCGGCGAGCGAACGTTCTCGTATTTACGAGCAATGTGAAGAGTGAAGATACTGGTCTGTTGAGCGCGTTACGTGCCACGCGGCAATTAAAACTAAAATGTTTTTTTTTGTTTTTTCGAGCATTTAACAAAAAATCTGCAAACGGTCATTAAAGTGGTATTTCTTGAGGTGCTTTTGTTTTATATGAGGAAGCTAATTGAAGATTAGCAATCCCTCACGATATGAAGCTCTATCTTAAAAGCTTACACAAACACTAGCTACTACAGCTAGTGCCTCGCAGCATACATCCGAGTCGCGTCATAACTCGATTAGCATTGTTGACATATTTCATCCCCAGGTGGCGCCTACCACTAACCTGTCCGAACACTTCTTCATCGACACTAAATGTGAGATCAAGAATGTCGGTGATATCATTCTCTTTAATCCAGAGCAAGCTCTGGTGAAATTCTGCATCCAATGATTCAAGATCGCTCAGTGAACATGGCCTGAAAAACCACATGTGAATAGCGCAGTTAGAGCCATGCATAATGACAAGTTGAGAGTTTTCTCAATCAGTGCATGTTTACTACGTTGTCAAAGCAGAGCACGTATTAACAGTTTTATCAAAGTCGTCTCGTTTTCAGCTTGAAAACAGTCTAGCTATAACTGGAAACATTTCTTTTCAATAATAAAATGACCCCCCCCCCCTTCCCGCAGTGAGCAAAATGGTCATTAACTGAATAAATTTTACATTATGATGATGCATATTTTAAATAAAGGTGCGAAATGTAAGTGTGGCACAATCAGAATGAGAACTTACAGCCTCAGCAAGGCTTTGTAGAAGGGTCTGGTGAAGAAAGCATCTAATAGGTACTGGTGTATGAGGGCCAGCCCCAAGACACGACCTGCAAATCTGAACCTGAAACAGGAATAACTGTCTCAACGAGCTGCTGAATTCAATCATTCTGAGCCACCTAACTACTACAAAACCGCTACAGTGTCCACCCTTGACTGGGCATGTTGAGAAACGATGCCTGCAGTGTGGTACTCCAAACTGCCGACCCACTGAATAATCCTCCACTGCATTGCATAAAGCTACGCATCACACTAGCTATATAAAATCCCTCCTATCTCCCGTAATAATTGCCCACTAATCCCCAAATGCATGTTGCATCCACTAGCACAGACACACTCACCATTCCAGATGGTTCTCCACAAACTGTGACACAGGGGAAACCTGCACGGTGTAGGTGTCGTTGGCCGAGTACTCAAACAGGCCATAGTAGGGGTTGAAGAGTTCACGCGACAGCAGGTAGAAGAACTCGCGTGACGGTCCACCGTAGTCAAGCCTGAAAACGAACGATCACAAAACTGATACTAGCAAATGTATTCCAAACGCACTGAACCACCCGACTTTTCACTTCACTACTCATCTACTGAGCAAACCGTCGCAGCGTAACAATACAAGCAGAGATGAGTATATGTCATAATGTGAGGAAGCACTATACCTGACAAGTAGGGATTGTTGAAGTTGTGACAAATGTATACAAAGATGTACAAAAATGTACACAAATACAAAGATGTACAAAAATGTATACAAAGGTCACCTAAAGAGTTGTGCGACAGTGACCGTTCATAAAGGAATTACGTGAACACGCTGAACATCTCTGCTCACCCTTCCTCGCCGACAAACGTTATGTAGAGTTTGTTCTTCTGAAGTTCTTTCTTGTGGCACTGCATGATCTTCGTAAATGCATCTTCGAGCACGTGGTCTCGTCTCACTGTTAACCTGCACACAGCCATATCAATGTACACAATCGCATGCAGCAACTTGTTTTAGAAAGAAGTGAACATTACAACAGACTTACGTCATGCACGTGTAAGCAGTTTGGATGCATTCCTGTCATCAATTTATATATATATATCAGGAGTAGATAATAGGGAAGGAGTGTGACTTCAAAAAACAAGGGAAATTCGTCATTTACTAGCCTTAGAATATCTACGATTTACTATGCGTAACTCAACCAACTTGAGCTCAAATCGTACACAGTACATTCGCCTAGCATCGTGCGAAATCGTTTCCTCCTATACACCCGCAATCCGGAGATACAGACTAAAACGTAGGACACAATTTTCCATTATGTTGCCAGCAAACTGAATGTGTAAACCGCCTAACTCGAAACAAAAGGCAGCTGTAAATAGGTCAAAGATTAGCTCAGCAAGCCACACCGCATCGCCGAGGGCGCAAGAGTCGTTAGTAGCTGCCTTTTGTTCCGAGTTAGGCAGTTTACACATTCAGTTTGCTGGCAACATAATGGAAAATCGTGTCGTCGTGTGTCTGCATAGAAGAGATGTGAGCTGCATATAAGAAGCTTAAGCATCTACAAACTATCTAAAGCATAATGCTGTATATTTTTACCCAAGACGCCCTGTGTCCGATCACGCTCAGGTCCCACACAGAAATATTCACTGTGACATTTGCTAAATAATCACAATTTTCATACAGCCACATTCAGCTGGCCAAGCATGCATATATAAATATATTGGTTGCAACAGGTAGTCTGGTAACTTAAACTGGGCGAAACATGTGTAAGTAGCATTTACATATATTGATTCAGCCACAAATAGATCTATTGCACGGCCATATATTGCTGGCCCCTACCCTGCTGCATATGAAATCAAGTCCGGGGAACCCCCCTCTACATACTTGATCTTGCCTGGGCCCTGCCCATAGCCTTTCGACTCCAGCTTCCGATAGAAGCCACGCAGCTTCGTCTCAAAGTCTCGCCTGTAGGGGGCGGGAGCTCTGACGTTGGCGCGCGGGACGACGGGCGATTCGTGGGATGAGGCGGAGGAGGCGGAGGAGTTAGACGCAGCCAGCCGCACCAGCGCCTCCGGGATGTATGACATCACTTCCTGTTCGAAGAGGCTGCAACGGAAGACACGTCGTTAATGACTTACACACGCGCGAAGCATCGATACATTTACGCGGTGAAACGCACACTCTCACACGAATATCACGTGATTATGTAACGAAGATTTTACATTTGACATGGACAAAAATTATTGCATGCGACCTGGCGAAACACACACCATAATACAAATATCACGTAAATGTCACGAAAATTATACATTGAATTACTGACATGACCTACTTTTAATGTTACCAAATTTCGTCCCTGATGAAAAAAAAAACAGATGCACATGCACGCGGTGACTATGGACTGTCACTCATTCATCTCTAACTCTAGACCTCGATGCATCAGGGTATAGGTTCATCGAACCCACATAGAAGTACATGGGATATGCACGCAGTAGACAGTATGGGTCTCTACTACACATGCACTGCAAACAGCTGATGCTGAGTTAGCAATCACCTCAACAGTATGATGAGGTCCACATCATTGCTGAGTTTTGTAAGGGCCTTCGTTCCCTCCATGCGTATTAGATTCACCTTGTCTTTCACCTTGCTGTTGGACGCTGTAACGAGAGCAGATGCTACAGCCACACTTCCGACAAAATCCGCGTTGCTAAAGGGGTGGACACACTAGGCGATTTTTCATGCGATCGAGCCGGCCGACCGAGCCGGCCGGCTCGATCGCATGAAAAATCGCGTAGTGTCCAGTGAGTCGCGATCGATTTTCGTGTCGGCCGGCCGAGTCGCCCGATTCAAACATGTTTGATAATTATTTGAGCCGGCCGGCTGCAATCGCCTAGTGTGCCCGGGTCTGCGATTGAGCCGGCCGATTGTACAATTCATCAGCCAATCAGCGTGCTGAAAATCCACAGAGTCGCCCGACTCAGTCGCGTAGTGTGTCCACAGAGTCGCCCGACTGAGCCAGCCGGCTCGATCGCATGAAAAATCGCGTAGTGTGTCCACAGCTTTAGACACACAATGAAAAATGTTATCTTGGATTGTGCAGGAAATCAATCACACGTGTGGCCCCCTAGATATACCGCCAATAACTCTAAATGAGCGCTGCCGCAACCTTGCGCATTTGCGGATGATCGATAAAACATCTGAACATCTATATATACATCACACGCATGTCTACTAGCAATAATAATACAAAATATATATATTATTTTTCCTACCCAACGTGATGCTGAACAGCCACTAACATAACGCCTACCGTAGCTTGGCTGGCGCGCTGCCAGAATCTCGTTGATGTTTGCCTGCCGTAGAAACGCGACCACCTTGTCGTTGTATGCCACGGGAGCCTCAGGCACAGGGGGCGCCACCAACGTGATGCCAGGAGGTCGCGGTGGCGGCACTGGGCCCTGAAAAATTCCACAAGTCATCAACTCGGCATCAGTGAGTGAGAGAGAGCGAGAAAGGGAGAGAAAACGAGAGAGAGAGAGAGAGAGAGCAAGAGGGGGGCGAGAGAGCGAGCGAGAGAAAGAGAGAGAAGGCGAAAAAGCGAGAGAGAGACAGAGAGAGAGAGAAAGCACGCGCCAACTGACCGACCAAACGCGGGATGCGTACACTCTGGGAGATACGCTCTCCGTCGTTATGGATACGCACCGATGTCTGCAGCATGCCCGGTCGCCGCGGCGACGGCATCTGCAGGCTCTGGGGGTTGATCGCTGGTACCTCCACGGGCAGTCGCGGATCAATGAAGGTCGTAGTCTTGCGCACGTGGTCGATGAAGAAGGACTTCCCCGTCTTGTCTGTCTTCAGCTCCCAGTTGACAGGCAAGGCGATGGTGGAATCGGCGAATAGGTTCAGGAAGACGACAAGGTCTCTGTTGTGCTGGTACCTGCGATGTAAAGTTAAATTAACCCTAAGCCTGCACAGTGAGGGGAACATTGCCTTAAGCCTGCGATGTAAGGTTAAATTAACCCTATGCCTATCATGTGAGGGTAACATAAGCCTGCGACGTAGGTAACCTAACCCTAACCCTGATTACTTCAAGGTCAAATCCAGGTCTCTGTTATACTGCTAACTGCAATGGAACATTACCTTAAGCCTGCGACGTAGGTAACCTAACCCTAACCCTGATCACTTCATGGTCAAATCCAGGTATCTGTTGTACTGCTTACTGTGATGTAAGGTTAAATTAAACCCAAGCCTGTCATGTGAGGGTAACATAAGCCTGTGAAGTCGGTAATCTAACCCTAATCCCTCTAGAGTTAACAATTACCCTGACCCTCGAAACCTCGGCTGTCTGCGACATCGCTCCCAGTTGTAAGTCCTACCTCTCAAACGCGCCGCTATCCCTGCGTATCTTCGATATCATGTGCTTCAGTGTCGTGTTGCCGGTGTACATGCCGAACGCCATCTCGTTCGTGTGCAGCAACGGGAAGAAGTCCGGCCGCGACAAGAACAGCACCGCCGGCGCCCTCTGTGGGGCACCCTTCGCGACGCCGGGCGCGGACCCCGATGCCACTGCCTGCTGGTTAGCAGGTGATGGACTCCTGGCAGCAGCTCTCTGAGGTGACTGCGCTTGCGTCGCTGCAAAGGTTCCGTGCAAGCAGCTACAGAGACTCCCTGACTTACGAACATTCGAGTTACGAACTTTCGATGATACGAACAATTTGCCCTGAAGTCCATTAGTGTATAATGTCAATATTGGTGAATAAAAAAACACAATCGCCCCCCTGATTTTGACTTTCGCCAACTCCTGTGTTCACGTATAAGTTTACACTATGTAGTACCCTTCTAGGTTACTCGATGTTCACACGTACATATACTACACTACTGTACAATACTGTATACGTACGTACATATGTTCGACTTACGAACGACCGCTCGGAACCGAACCTGTTCGTAAGTCGGGGAGTCTCTGTATATGCGTCCATCACATTAGGGTTTTATTTTGGTAACTGCGTCTATTACCCGACGATTTATATTACGTAAATATTTCCTTGTTTGTGAAATTTGACGCAACGATATGCAGTGACGCTGGGTGGTAGAATTACTGAATATGATTATATTGGATATAGTTTTTTTTAATGATGATGGTCATTGTAAAAAATAAACAGACAAATTAGGAAAAATAAGGTAAATTTCTGCTTTTAAATTGTGTAATTTAACATTGATTTGGATCATGAATGGGTCCAATAGTCAGACCAAAATCAAGATAAAATCCTGGATATACAAAATAACATACGTAAATACGATACAACTATCGTCATTAAGCTGAGCAAGGTGACATGACAAAGGTATGAGTGTGCTAGGGAGGGATGAGGGAGGAGGGAGGAGGAAGGAGGGAGGAGGAAGGAGGGAGGGAAGAGGTAGGAGGGAGGGAGGAGTACCTTGTGCAGCAGGCCTAGGTGATGTGTCAGGTCGGGCTATGGACAATGACGCCAGGTCGTCATTTCTATTTCTGTTGATTGTTCTTCGTATGCTTTGGTATCTGCAGCAATAACGACTGCACTTCAGAAATGTCAAAAACATCCCAATCGCTTTAGGATAACAGACTTTAGAGCAGACATATATTAATTACACTTTTCATTGCTATTCTCTCAGAGCAACAAATTTTTCCATTCTGAATCAAACCAAGCGTGACCAATATTTTCAGTATTTTGATGAGTATCTGCAATATTGTTAAATATCTACAAGTATTGGCAGAGTGGCAACCTGTACTCCACAGATGCCATTAGAGACAGAGGTGGAGAGTTGACCTATCTGTCACGATTGCATCACATCCATTTGAGCAGGACTAGCACCACACCGGCTAGTCGACTAGTTCGGCCGACACAGGCTATAACGTCCCTCACAGAAGGCAACGTTTTCCAACGGTGTAATATTAATAAAATATACATGGTAAGAAAAAAAAATGTAAAAAAATGTAAATAAATATAATATGGTCCGTGATGGAAAGAAGCTAAAAGCTAGAATCCCAATTAACCGTGAAGATTGAAAACGTGCAGCTGACGTTTCGCCGCCTATCAGGGGGCTTTCTCATGAGAAAGCCCCCTGATAGGAGACGAAATGTCAGGTGTACGTTTTCAATCTTCACGGTTGAGTAACAATTAACCCAGATAGATCTATTAGTCTACCAACCTACCAGATAGATCTATTAGTCTACCAACCGAATGAACTTATTTAACGAGCTAGAAGCCGCTACAGCGGATGCTGCGCATGCTCACCGTCTATCGAACTGCTCGCGTTCGTGTTCGCTCGCGGCCGTGCTGGCCTTGCGCTGCAGGGCCGGCGTTGCCTGCGGTCGCTCCCACGTCGTCGTCCGGTTCACGTGATCGATGTAGAATATGCGGCCGTGAGTGTCAACACGCGCCTCCCACCCTGCGAGGACGAGGGAGAGAAACGTATTAGCCAGCGAGCCGTGCAGCCGTGATTCGCACGGTCAGTTTTGAAACTGCACGGCCAAAAATGTGTAGCACGGCCTAAAATATGGATCTCAAGACACACATGCCAAAAAAATTGCACTCCCAAATATTTTTTCTGCACTCCCACAATACTCATTCCTGGTTAATACTCCGAGAGAAAGGGAGAGGTGATCATGACTCACTATCACTCGCTGTGATCAGTTGCAAGGACAAGGGAGAGGTACACTTTTGTACACTTTTTGTAATATTTTTCCTTCACGTTTGAATAGCGCTGTTTTGTACTGTTATCGCTCTCTGTACTGAAATTCCATTATTTTAACTGTTCAACACTATTTCATTTATCAGATTTTTTCTACATTAAAAAGACGGTTTTCAGTACATGTATTTGTATTTGAGTTACATGCAATAAAGGCTTAATAATGATAATATTAATAAAAAAGGTGATGATGCGATCATGCCTCACTGTCACTCACTGTGATCGGTTGCAACCAGTCTCGTGTAATTCTACCTGCTAAGTCTTTCTGTGTGTATGAACAACTCATTGACTGCCTGCCTGCCTGCCTCCCTGCATGCCACTCTCTTGCCCTCACCTTTTTTCTCTCTCTCTCTCTGCCTAGCTCTTTTTCTCATTCACTCTCTCTCTCTCTCTCTCTCTCTCGCTCTCTGCCTGTGTCTCTTTCTCTCTCTCTCTGTCTGTCTGTCTGTCTCTCTCTCTCTCTCTCTCTCTCTC